AAGTGCAGGAGAGCTTTTCCTCCAGTCTGGCCCATGACAAGACATATGTCGGATGACAGAAACTCTTCCCCAATCAACAGCAGTGTATGACTTTCCCTTGGAAACCCAGCTCCCTCTGGAGCCCTATTCTGAGAGAAGGCAGCATGGCTTTCGGGGTCCACTGAACAAGGCAATGGGTATTCCTCAGGTTCTAGCTTTGTTTGGTGTGCAGTAAGATGTGGGACTTTGGTATGTGGTACCAGGGGAAGCCAAATCTGGGGTTGGCCCAGGAAAGCTCTGACGAGGCCTGTCTCTATGCTGAAAGCCCAGGTGCTCCCCAGAAGCAGCAGCCCCAGTCTCCAAAGGCCCCAGCTGAGGCACTTTCCTCATCCGGATTACTAGTTCCTTCTCCTCTCAGCTCCTCTTTATCTATCTGTACAGTCTCAGGTGATGTCATCTTCCATTCTGCTTACTGATAAGTTTTTCCTGGGAGTCATTCACCTGATTCCTTAGAATCATAAAACCTTCATATTGGGTGACTAATGAGATCACTTACTTTAATATTCCTGAAAGCACACAGCACAGACACGCAAGAACACTAGAAAATCTGTATCGTTAGGCCATATAAGCACAGCATTAAATATATATGTGACAAGAGATTAAAATAGAAATGTGACAATTGTATTAGAATCACTCACTCAGAAGACAAAGTTCCTACAAATTGCCAATCTCTTGGGATCTATGAGTCCAAAATTTGCGTCGTAATAACCACTCCAGTTCATTCTATGTCACAGGGATTTGCATCTACTTAAGAGAGGTCAGTGCTTGCTTCTGCAGCATATATACTAAAAAAAAAAAAAAAAGTCAGACACAAAAAGAAACATTCTATGCACACCACTCTCATTTCCTTTTAGTAACTTATTAAAGTTCAGTGCCTGGTATCCAGAGTCCCCTGGCATTGACGTTTGACAGAGTGGGGAGAGTCATCCAGTACAAGTTCACTGACACGGTTCTCTGCTCCACAGTAACCCAGACGCGGTTCCCTATAAATCCTATGTCACCCCTTAACGGAGGCTGTTGGTTGTCGTGTCCTAGCAGTAGTCCCAGAGTTGGAAGGGAGCACTGAGTTTACTCATAAGGAAACTGAGGCCCAAAGTGTTGACCTGTTTAGATTTATAAGATGATGAGGTCCAAGCCTCCAGCTTTCCCAAGGTTGACCTGAAGCCAGAGAGCCAGGTGGCTTCATGGCCCTGTTTACAGCAGCCCCTGAAAGGTGCCCCAGACCTCAGAGTCCTCCCACATTACACACGGCCTGAGGCACCCCCAATCTCAGAGTTTCTTATATAGTCTCGATACCAATGTTTCGTTTTCTTGTCTAAACAAGTCACCTTTAAAATGTATATACTCTTCGATCTAACTATTTTCATTCTAAAATATAACTTCAGAAAATAATAAGAGTACAGAATCATATGCACAAGGATAGTCATCATAGCTTTATCATAAGACCAACCCTGATACACTATCCGAATACTCAAAATATTGTGATTTGCTTTATAAATGATAGTACATCCATAGAATGGGATATGGCACTTTAAAATGATGTGTATAATTATTGACATAGAAAAGAATTTAAGAGCTTAAAAATATTAAATGAAATTGTTAAATGAAAACAAACGCAAACAGCATATAGAGGACAAATAACCCAATTTCTTCAACGTAATAATGGTATTTAAACAAAAATGAAGGGGGAATTATAATACCTTAAAAATGAGACATAACCACATGCAATGTGTTTGGATCTTGATTTAAACAAACCAAGTGTAAAAAAGTCAATTTTTTTTTTTTTAGATAATTAGGAAAAATTGGACTTCGATTAATAGGGTATTAGATGATATGAAGGATTATTGTTACTTTCATTAATGGCAATTTTGTCTTTAAAAAGTACTTATCTGTCATGAGTGAAAATGGAAAATGAGTAGGAAAAGAAATTCCCATTTCTGATTATAGCATGTATACGATTGATATGTATAGAAATGCGTGGGGAAAAGCTAGAAGGAAGTACTCCAACTTATTAGCACCCTTGGAGAACAGATTATGGCTGATATTCTCTCCTTTTATCTGCCTTTATTTTCTTAACAATATACAAACTTGTGTGATAAGTAAAAAGTACAGTCACCATTATCTCCTGGTAACCAGGGCACTGCAAACAGCTGAACTAAGGAACCTGCCAGGGAGGAGGAACTGAGGCAGGCTTGTGGGAGAGGCCTCTGGGACCCAGGAGGCCCAAGCAGCTGGAAGCTGGTGGCCCAGTGCACATAAAGTCTGTGAGTTCAGGCAGGACCCATGGAGCTTCAGCACCGCCCACCCGAAGCCTGGAGCTGGCCAAGGGCCTGCACTGTGCCTCAGTGATGCTGAATCCAGAACTGGCCCACCTTCTGGCCCAGGTCCACCTTCTCACAGATCCCACCTCACTATGGATGGATGGCTGTCCCATCCCCACCCACACCCCTACCCGGGCTGGGCTGTGCCTCTACCTCCAGTCCTATGTGGAGTGCAGAAAGGCTAATCAGTGACTACCAGCAGGGAAGTGAGTGATCAGGGCAGAGCTCCCCAGGCCCGGCTCTGGGCTGTGTGGAGCCTTTCAGGACCATACCTGGGGGCCTGAGGCTAAGGAGCAGAAAAAAGTGATGCCTAGGACACAGGTGTTTCCACTGGCAGCCCCTTCGCCCCAGGCCACCACTACACACACACACACACACGCACACACACACACACACACACACACACGTGCGCGAGATTAGAACTGAAACTCAATAAGGCCCCTAACACCTCAATCCTGAGGGAAACTCCCAAAGGGGTTCTCACTCCCCAGAGCCTCAGGATAACGGGAAGTATCAGTCCTGGAAGAGACCTTAAAATCATCTAGCCCTACCCTGCCAGAAAGAAGGGAGGAGACCAAGACTTGAATTGAGAAAGCGACTTTGGCCAAATCACACAATGAATTAGTGGTGGGCCTGGCATTAGACATAACTCAGGACTCCTGGCATCAAATCCTTTATATCTGCCTCTCACAGTCTTTGTGGGTCCAAGACCAGAGGACAGAGGCTTCTTCCCATGCCAGTACCCCCACTGATGGTAAGCTCCCACTGAGTGACCTCTTGGCAGGAACACCATCCACATTCTGTGCCACTTTCAGGTGGCCCGGGAAAGACCGCAATGTCTGGCTCAGCCAGGGCTTTAAGAAAAGATGAAAGCTGGGGGTGTGGGTGCACTGCTGTGCTGCTTCAACATGGCGGCAGTGACACCAGAGAAGACCTGCTGCTGTCTTGAAGGCTCCCGTGACAAACCCATAGCCAAGCCACTTCACCACTGCCTTTTGCATCCTGCTCTTCCTCCGACCCCTCGAGGACCTCACGGTGTGGGGTGGGACAGGGATGGTGTAGACCTGCCTGCCCTGTAGTTTGGCTTCTGTACTCCAAGCCTATACTGAGATCATATGCAGGGGACAGTTCTGGGAAAAGGCAAATATCCAACAATCCTATCTGCCTCCCTCAATCCTAACCCCTGGCCCAACCAACTTTTCCCAGAGGCCCCCTTTGCTCTCCCAAAGGGAGCAAAATAGAAGCCAGGAAGGAAGATGCAGGACTGTGCTACACAGAAAGGGATTGGGAGACCAGAAGTGGCTATGTCAGCACCTGCTGTAGCAAAGGTGGATGGCAAGTGAGACGTGCTGGAGCTCAGTCGCCTTCCAAGGTCCACGGGGCAGCCTCCGCCTTCCATCCTCTAGTTTGCCAGCAGGGTCCTTCTTCTCAGCTACCCACCCTTACGCCCCACCCAATGCTGGGAGTGCCTGCTGGGTGGGGTCCTCAGTGTTGATTGTAAGTGAAACAGGTGCTGGGCACCGTTGACAGTGCCACCCAAGCTTGGGCAACTTGTGGGGAACTCACATTCTTGGTTCCAAGACTGATTCACTCAATCAATTAATATTTAATGAGTACTTAGTGGAGGAATGAACTTCTGGGCTTCCTGCAGCCCCTTCCAAACAGAAAGGAGAACACTTCAACAAGGATGTGGAGGTGAAGGAGTCCCGGCACCATCTCAGGAATACGAACTTGGTGGCCCACGCACATCACCTACTCCCCTGCCACCCTCTTTGCCCATTTGGGAAGCTGTGAAACACCACAATACCTTGAGAGCTCTGGAGGGATTTGGAAATGGGAAATATTCCCTGAACTACTTTCAGTCAGCCCCATTCACTCTTTGCAATTGTCCACATGGCAGTCATCATGAAGCTCATTTAACAGACCAAGCAAAGGAGGTTCCAAGACATTGTTTTAGATCCAACCCAGTCAACATTGTGAAATAAGTGACATGTCTTTGTCCTTGGTAGTCCTACCAAGGGTCCCCTCTGCAGCTAAGTCCCTTTCAAGTTCAGAGGTCTCCTACCTCCACCAAACCATGATCAGAGGAAAACTGGCTACCCATGAACTTAACACTACGAGCCCACCTCCTTCAGGGGCATTTGCATTGGAAGTCTTCTATCTAGAACTAAAAAGGGAAGACTTACTCACTCCACATGCAAGGCACTTTGGGCACCACTGAGCTGGAAGAAGAGAGTTTTGAGAGAAGGCAGCTGGCAAGTCTGGCCCTGGAGCTAAACTAGACTCAGAGAAGTAAAAACAGTGGGCTGCGTGGCTGCTGAGTGTGTGCATGTGTTGTGTGTAGACAGAAATCAAGATCCCACCCTCCTCCAGAGATGACATAGGAAAAGCAGTGTGTGACCTTGAACAAATTAACTGATTTCTCTATTGCCTCAGTTGTAAAATAGTCCTAGATATTTGGCTTGCTTTGAGGATTAGAGATCATTAATACAAAGCCGCTCTCAAAGGCCCCCAGCTGAAGGAAGGTATTAAAGGCTGCAGCCCAAGTTTTGACCTGGCTACTCTATCCTCATTCTTGACTAATAATCTTCAAGTCACAACTGGGCATATGCAATTGGATCCAACTCTGACGCAGGGAAATTAAGGTCACAATTTTAATAAGGCCAGAGATATCATTCAAACAGAAAAAGACACCAAAAGTTTTAACTGGCTATGAGAAAGGGAAAGGTTTTCCATTTATAATTACCAGCATTACATGGAATTTCATAATAATCATGAGTGAGTTTGAGCCTAGAAAAGGATGGTATCCTTGTGAAATGAAGACAGGTGCACTGACCAAAACCTCCTGGGCTAAATCAGAGGTGCGTTTTAAGGTCACCCATGAGTAATGCTCATGACTCTCCTTAGGTAGGTGACAAAGGAGTCTTCGCTGGCTGCCCCTGGACAGCAGAAGGGTGGTGGGTGGGGAGCGTTAGGAAGGCAGTTCTTCACCTTGTAAAGTAAATTACACAGAATCCTCAGGGGCTGAAAAAGAGGCAATCTTCAAGCAGTATTGAGAAGTTCCCTGACTACTTCTACACTTGGGGAATGCAAGCTGGTTTGACCTCATGTGGGATTTCGGTTAATTTTAAAACCACCCTAGACCTAGGAAGATCAGTCTCTTATTCTCCTTTTGTCATCATACCAAATAACATCAATGTCTAGAAACACTGTGCTTTAAAACAGCTTCCAGGCCAGTTAACACTTGTTAAAGTTGTCTCTTCACAGCTCAGTCCCCAACCCCCAACTGGCCAGTCACAGTGGAACCAGGAACCCAAGGGACATATTTCTTCCCTTACTCAACTAAGGCACTCCAGGAAGAAGTGAGCTCCCAGCACCTGCCTGCAAAGCTCCGCTCTACTTGCTGAACTTTGCTCCACATGAACACGTCATTCGGGCTAGAAGTTCCCCCAAAATATCCCTGCTTGTAAAGTTTTAAGGCACACCAACTCCTCTGTGTAAGGCTCTTTGCTTATAATGAATTGCTTTAATTATTCTCACTATTTAAAAGAAACTTCTGCATCAAAGTCCAGCCCTTTAGCTCTGAGATGCTAAGAGGGTGGGGATGAGGGCAGAGCCCAATTAACATCAGGGATTCTGGTCACTGGGGTCGCACTTGATCATGACTTTCAACCCCAATCCCTTTCTGGATGCTTCGAAGGCTTCCAGAGCTTTCTCCAGAGGAAATCTATGGGTCACTAAGGACTTTACATTCACGGACTTGGACTCAAGCATTGAAATCGCCACCGGCCACCTGTAAAAGATCACAAGCATTATATTCAACCTTCAGGAGGAAACAGCCAGGCCCTCAAGACTACCAAGCACAACATCAGGTTGGCCATATTTCTAGCACTGTGGTTCTGCAAGGTCAATTCTACAGACCAACAATGGTGGAAATGATCTTATGACTTGTAATTTGGGAGTATAGCCCCTGTTTCCAAATGCCCCCTGGTCCCTCTGCCATGTCTGTCATGAAGCTTATAAGTCCTTTGGCACAAAGTCATAAGGCATATGGAGGCCACTGTGAAAAGGCAGATAAGCCTCAGGAGACAGCCCAGGATAATCCTATCACACCCTTCAGCAGCTTGGCAGTTCACTGGAAAATGAACACTGCTGATAGAAAGGTGAGCATAAGGGACCATGGTGGGGAAGGTAGTCCTAGACAGAGTTCCCTGGAAGGGGAGAGGTGGGGGCAGAGAACATGCTGTGGAGTAGCTGGTGTCATCCTTTTCCTTTTTCCTTTTAAAGGGGGAAAACCCCGTCATATCTCCTGGCTGCCCATGTGGCCAGGGAGTGCCCTTCATGAATAAATAGGCAGACTCGATCTCAGAGGCCTGCCCATGTCCTGCTGGCCACTAGCCATCCCATTCACCCACAACATACTCACGTGTTGCAATATCGAAACACTCCCTTGATATCCACTTCCCGGGTGGCTGCGTCCACTAGGGGCACATTGGTCATCTCAGAACCCAGTCCCACAAGCACCAGGGTCCCACCAGAACGAGTGGCCTGAAGAGGAAGTAAGAACAAGAAAACTCAGAAGAGAATGCAGATCCCATTCACCGTAACACTGTCATCACACAAATATCTTCTGATTCCATCAGGTGAGCATCCCAAAATTGCGGGGAACATGATTCTTTCTGTGCTGCTGAACTCAGCATGGTGACTACTCAACAGAGCAGCAAAGTAAACATTATCATCTTTAAAGATCCTGAAATAACACCTCCGCAGTGGAGGACCATGCACAGTGGGAGCATCCTCCGCTGTCCACAGCATCCCAGGAAATAGTCAATGTTGTCCAGACCTCAGTGAGAATCTCCTCTACAAAACAACAATAATCTCCAGCAGTCCCAGATGTTGGCTTTAGCCTATTCCTCATCTCATCACCCGTTCCTCCCCCAGAGTACCCATCCCACAAGACAGGACTTTTGTCAAGCCTCTAAGGAACCACCCTCTTGGTGAGAAAACTACTAAGCACTATACAAATGGGGAGAGCTACTGCAACTTTGTGGTTTAAAAACTGCATTATACTTGCAAGCTGGCATTTTAGAAATATTTTTATTCTACGGACATTCATCCCGATAGTATCACTCATAATGGATTTTGCCTCCTTGAATACCTATCTGCCTTGGAGTGGGCCAGAGAGTGAAGTTTCTTTTGACAATCTCTCTATAAATCCTCCTGAGTGTTGTACCTGCTCCAGAGATTTCTGAGAATCACTGTGCTCAATATTGTAAGAGACCAAAAAACGGACAATTCATTCCAAGCCTCTCTCTGAAGGGAAAGACACACCACAGAAAGAGGCAGGCAACAGGGTGCTGACTCTGGCATTTGCACTTTTGAGCTGTAGGACCCTGGACAGTGCTCTCACGGACAGTTTCCTCCTGTGTAAAAACAGGCTGATGCCACCCCGGCAGAGTTGTTGGGGTTACCAGTCACAGTGCTTGGCATGAGGATGGGCTCATTGTTTGGCATTTTTTCTGTTTTTTATTGTAATGTAGTCACTTAAAAACCACCTATGACATGAACACTGTTGGTAAAGGGGAGAAACATCAAAGACGTGGACGAGCCACAGAAAACTTCGACTGAGAAATTTCCTAGGAAAATGTTTCCCCATCAGCATTTCTTCTCCACCTGGTGGAAAGGAGGAGGGACATTGTCAAACTGGCCATCCCAAGCTGCCAGGAGGCCAGCACTTCGCTAGTCACAGGTAAAGGAATGCTCGAACTAACTACTTGACCATTGTTTTGTGGGTGTGACCTCTGCACCAAGGAGATGACATCAATTCTACCATGAGTGTTTGCCACTTCTTTTCATGAATATTATCTAGTCATGATCAGCAAGAAAGTGACTCAGGTATGTCCAGGTAAGGTGCCTCCACCTATCCTGCTGGAGGGGTGGCCTATAGCATTCTATAGCACCTGTCAAGCATGATGGCTCCACTCCCAACTCAAGAGAGGCCCCAGCTTCAGGCCTGAGGAGAACCTTGGGTCATTTTTACCTCTACATCCACCTGGCATCCTGACAACCAAGCCTCCACCATCAACAGCTGGAGATGACAGCTGTTCCCAGACACTCTCCAGGCGGGAGAGAAGACAAAGAAAAGCCTTACATTGTGAAGCCACGTCTTTTACTACCTCTCTGTGAAGTGACGGGGGTCACTCAGCGGCCAACAAGCTGAAGACAGTAGACACACCCTACTTGTCATAGCCCTCAAGATGCCCAAGATAGGTCATGGGCCGTTGGATCACATGTAAATCCATCACTGTCTGAGTTTTGGGTTTTCTCTGCCCCAGGATAAAGATGCCTCCTGCTCCTCCATCCTCCTGCTGCTTCCTCTGCCCTTGAGGTGAAGGACATCTTGGTAGAAGGAGGGCAAGGCAGCTCTGCTAGGGTGTCAGGTCTGCGGGCTGTGCCACATAGCTCTAGGGGCCAGCTTTCCCTAGAATGTCTTGCATGGTGCAAAGTGCCCTTGTGCATGACCCAGCTCTGACTCAGAAGGAAGAAGGAAGCCTGAACTGCTATGGGGAAGCTGTCTGTCAGGCAGAGCAGGAGTGCCCAGTGGTGACAACTGTCGCCACCACTCTCACTCAAGGGCAGCTGCCCATTGGCTCCTTGTCTCTTCCTTCCCTTCCTCTCCTAAGCAGTGGACAGAGTAGGAAAAGGGCAAACACTGGAGCAGTGTGCTCAAGGCAAGTCAGTGGGCCTCTCATAGTAAAATGTGGGAAATGATGACTAATTTCTGGCTATTGTGCAGATCAGGCATCACGTTTATAAAGCACCCAGCAGAAGGGCTTGGAACCTAGAAGATATTCTTTCTCCCCTCTCTTTTCCTCATACTTTGATTTGTCAACGCCACTCCTCCTCCCCACCGCCCTGCCCACTTCTCATATATTACTGATGTGTTGCTGAGGGGCAAATCTGTTCTTATTTTTGGGAGAGGACAGCAGTAGCCGACTGTGACCCTGAAAATCACCTCCCCTTTGTGACAAACTGAATTAATGGCTGTCACTTTGTGTGAATGACTCAAAGACCAGTTTTCCTCAATAAAACGAGGAAGGGACTTCCCACACTTAAACCAAGACATGGTTCCCTGTTCCTCCTGTAGATATTTATTCAAGAGCACAACTTTTATGATTATAGGTGATGATTACAACAGCAACCCTATCCTAAAGGTGTGGGTCGCTTAATATCTTTCAAGGCCTGTGTATGTTACTTTGTTTAAACCTCACAATGACTCAATTAAAATGTGAAGGAAGTGTCACTATTTCCACAAATGAGATAAGAAAACAAAGCTACAAAGAGATCACTTAATTTTGCTGGGGGGAAGAAGGGCCACAGAGCAAGTCAGTGGAGAAACTTGATCCTACGAACCTGGACTTCTGCTCAGTTAGCTACCCTGTGCCGATTCCCCAGAGCTGCCCACCGGTTTCAGCTGCCCTCATCCCACTCACGTAGATGCCGGCCTGGATGGCAGACTCTGCCCCTGTGCACTCAATGGTGACCTCTGGCTTACTACCCAGGAGACTTTCCACTTTACGGGCAACTTCCTGAGGGCTCTCCTTGGAGATCTGGAGGACGAAATTGGCCCCAACTTCCTTGGCTTTAGACAACCGAGAAGCAGACAGATCTAAAGTTGAAAAAAAAAGTTTCTTTCAAACTGAGAAACTAGGTGATAACTAGAAAATAAAAATGCAGGTGCAGGTCCTGATGGCAACGAAGTTCCGGTATAGTGGGTGGTGTCGCTGAACCCAGTGCACATACTCGCTGTACCATCACACACTCCCACAAACACTCTCACTGATAGATTCTCTTCACACACATGCACACTTTCACAGATACCTTCTGTAGATACTCTGATATCTCCCCGTACAAAACGCACACTCACTCTTCTATATCCCCATTCCATCATACATCCACACACCCACATACCACAGAACTCTACTCACCCACACACACTCTCAAATAACCTCTCCTCACACATACGCGCACACTCAGATACCTTCTACACACACACATTCTGAGATGCCTTCTCCACATACACAACCTTTGATACCGCGCATGCTTTCCATACATACCACAACACCCACACACACCCCCACACATGCTGTCACAGATAATCTCTCCTCACGCACACATAGACACTCACGTCTCTTACCCATAGTACGCATCTCATGCATAAACACGCACTAACTCCACAGCACATACACACAAACACACTCTCTTTGTCTCCTAGACTTGGACAAACAAACCAAAGGCTGAGACTCCTCTTGGGACCAAGCAAGCAGTATGGGCATCTCATAGCCATACATAAAGAGCCAGGTCTCCCTCTGCACAGCAGCCACCCTCTCCCAGCAGCCTCAGAAAAGAGTCTCCTTCTGAGCCCTGACTTGGTCACCTCCTGGGTGGGCTTTTCAACCCTGGAACCAAGAGAAAACAAGAGGAGCCCCTTGAAAAACCCAATACTCCAGGAAGGGAATATGTCTCATACCCCAAACGATAGGCCCAGCAGTTTTCTCCGCAGGGAGAATTAAAAAGAAAACCTTCTTACCGGTCACCACCACTTGAGCTGCGCCCATTGCCTTGGCCACAAGCAAAGTGACCAGTCCAATTGGCCCTAAATAAAGCGGGAAATGGGAGACATTTGTGAAATATGAAACATCATCCACTTACTCTTGGGCACTGCTTGGGGATAATGTCAAAGAGTCAGAGAGCTCAAGGAAACATGTATTTGTGCAGAGAAGTCTTAGAAGGTCCAGGTACATTTTTCTGTTCTCTTTGACCCCTACCGTGTTAGAACCTATCACACCTCCTCCCAAGGAGAGATATTTTGTTTTTAGATGACCTCTGAGGACCACCTGGAGGGTGTCCTTAAGTGAGCTGGCTTCCAAGGTTGAGGCAGCTGTTCAGGAAGCCCCATGATGGTCAGGTGATTGAGAATCAGCCCAGAGACCACCTGTTTCCTCCCATGGTATCTGCATGCTAGACATGATGGTTTCAACTCCGAAACCAGACCCACAAAATAAGGCTGTGCAGAATATTTGGGGAGATTTCCTTTTTGCACACTTCCCTTGAAAATAATTGTGAGTTCCCCAAGAAAGCAAAACACTGGAAAATTACCAACGAAGGGATGATTAATTAAATAAACTACAGTGGAATACTACACAGCTATTAAAAATTACATCATAACTCTTATCTACTGACATGAAAAAATGTACATGTGTTATTTAAAAAAGTAGGTAAAAAAAATAAAGTATATTTAGCATGATCTCACAAAAAAAAAAAAAACCTTGAAACATTCTACATCAAAATGTTAACAGTGATTCTTCAGGCTGATGGGGTTATGGGTGAATTTTTGTGTGTGTGTGCACGTGGTGTGTATGATTTATCTTTTGAATTAAAGACTTGAACATGAGACCTGAAAACATAAAACTCCTCAAAGAAAACATAAGCAGTAAGCTCTTTGACATTAAGTCTTGGCTAGACTTTTTGGATGACACCAAAAGGAAAGGCAGTAAAAGCAAAAATAAACGAGTGAGACTATAAAAAACTTCTGCACAGCAAAGGAAACCATCAACAAAATGAAAAAGGCAACCTAATAAATGAGAGAAAATATTTGCAAATCATACATTTGTTAAGGGGTTAATATCAAAAAACATATAAAGAAGTCATATAAACGAATAGCAAAAAAACAGGGGACCTTATTTAAAAATGGGCAGAGGATCTGAATAGACACTTTTCCAAAGAAGACATACAGATAGCCAACAGATGCATGAAAAGGAGCTCAGCCCCGCTCACCATCAGGGAAATGCAAACAAATCGAAACCAACTCAGACTTCTTTGAATGGCTATTATCAAAAAGAAATAACAAGTACTGGCGAAGATATGGAGAAAACGGAACCCTCATGCACTGTTGGAGGGGATGTAAATTGGTGCAGCTATTGAAAACAGTATGGAGATTCCTCAAAAAACTAAAAATAGAACTGCCATATAATCTAGCAGCTCCACTTCTGAATATTTATCAGAAAAAAAGTGAATTCTGTAAATATTATGGTGATGGATGTTAACTAGACTTATTGTGGTGGTCTTTTTGCAATACAGTTGACCCTTGAACATGAATATGCGGATTTTTTTCCAATAAATATGTATAGTACTATAAATGTATTTTCTCTTCCTTATGATATTCTTAATAACATTTTCTTTTATCTACCTTCCTTTAGTAAAAGAATACAGTATATAATACATTTGTCAGTAAGGCTTTTGGTCAAGAGTAGGCTATTAGTAGTTAAGTTTGGGAAGAGTCAAAAGTTATACGTAAATTTTGACTGCACAGGGGGTTGGCTCTCCTAACCCTGGGGTTTTTCAAGGTTTAACTGTACATACAAATATCAAATAATTTTGTGTACCTGAAATATGTTATATGTCTTTATACCTCAAAAAAAAAAAATGTGTATGAGGAAAACCAAATCACATACACAAGTGTGTGAGAATGCTATCTGTGTCAGCTGAAGTTAGAAGCCAAGAATAATTTGGTGTGAGGCTGCTAGGGTTTGTTCGGGTGGAGGAGCGAAGTCAGCTAGCTGTAACCCCAATGCAGATAGAGTACTGGCTCATGTTGGGCTGGACTCCATTCCTTCCACTAACCATGAGCAGGGCCTACCTCATTTCTGGATGGACCAGAAGACCACTTTCTTGATATGATTTGAAATTTCTAAAAGTTGCTCTTCTCTTTACTATCAAAAATATTTCCCTAGTTTCCTATCAAGCATTGAAAAATAATCCCAAGTTACATTCTTTCAATGAATAAAAGGGTTGTTGCCTAGGGAATAATAGCAGTTACTATGAATGTCTGCAGTTATTAGATCATTTAGCAAAGTGCTAGTCACTGAAGGAATAGAACACTATTCATCTCCTACCCAGAAAGGTCCTAATACCAATTTCAGCCTTTGGAAGGGGAATGAGGTGGGCACAGAGAGGCCCCCACACTCCCCTTTAATAAAATCATAACCAGGTGACATCTGTTTCTTACCAGCTCCACACACGAAGACTTTGTTCCCCAGCGTGATTCCAGCTCGCTGGCAAGCATGGATCCCCACAGACAATGGCTCGATCAGGGCCCCTTCCTCAAAGGTGACATTGTCAGGAAGCCTGGGGAGTCATTCAACACACTCAGTCACTCTGGGTTAACAATAATAACAATAGCTAATATCTATTGAGCACTTATTTATGTGCCAGGCATTGTGCTAAGCAATTTCCATATATTCACTCATGTAAGTCCTTAGAACAGTTCTGTGGTAGGTACTATTATTCACATTTGGCAGACTAAAAAACCAAAGCTTGGAGGATTAAGTGACTTGCTCCAAAGGTTCTAAACTACTGAGGGGCTCAAAGGATTTTAAGTGGAAACCATATATGTCTGATTCCAGAACCCAAGACACACTGCCTCTCTCAGCAGATGGTTTTCTTTGGAGAGAAATCACTTCAGTGAATGTGAACACATTTCGTTTTCTTTAATATGCTCTCCAACCTAAGGTATGGTGTGGCTATCAAAATAAATGAAAAGTTCATTTAACAAAGGGTTAACATAACCATATTTCAACATCTCTTATGTTTCTCAAACTGATAGCTTTTATGGTTTCCCTTTAGTAAATAATCCCAACCAGCAGCAGCTTTGCAAAACCAGTGATTTAGAAGCTGGCATCACTCTGTTCAGTTGTCACACACACACACGCACACGCACCCAATTACACTTTCCAGAAGAACCACATCTGATGGCAGCAGTTGCCTGGCTGTCACAGGACTGGTTAAGATGGGAAAGGATCTGTCTTCCACACAGCTGATTAAATGCTGTGTCACCTTAACCACTGGGTTCTAGGTTTTCACTTCCAAGTCCACTGGCATCTTATGCTATTAACTCTCCTACTGATGATGAATGCAAACATTTGCATAAGGTTTTATAGATTAGAGAGCTTTCTCTTCCATTATCTCACTTAATCACTATGACTTTTTCAGTTGGGGTGGGCAGGCTTTATTCTACAAGAGGAAACTGAAGCTCCATGACATTGAGATACATGCCCAAGGTTACAGGGCTAGTGAAAGGAAAAGCAAAGCTTTAACTCAGATCTCTATTCCACATTCTGACTGTCCCATATTAGCTGCCTCTTGGTATAAGTAGCCCTGCAGTTAACATCTAATTTTTGCTAGTTCCTAACTGTCCAGTATCTATTCAGTGCCCTCAAAATCTCCACATGAAAACCTTCAAGTTCCAAAGAGAAAAATGGCAGCCAAACCATATGTTCATTCCCATGATCCTTCTGTCACTGTTCACAATCCCCAAAGAATAAATAACAAGGCCTGCAGTCAGCCCGGCTGCTGCCCACCACCCCTCCTCCTTTCACCCCTCCCCTCTGCTTCTCTCACATCATTTCCCCTACTCCAATCCATCCTGCTCTGATTGCTGTCATCATCCCTTCTACCCACCCAAGTACCCTATCGACTCTATATAAAGGAAAAAAATTGAATTGAAATAAGACTCCCAAACTCTCAAAGACTCCCAACCACACTTTCTCAGACATACTTGTCCCTTCCCATTTGGGCCTCCCCCAGAGCTTGCACTGGCTCTAAGCTAAGAGTGGCCTTTGGTCAGAAACTGTGTGCTCCTCTCCCTTTTGCTGACTTCCCCTTATAATAAGAACACCAAGGAGAAAGGGGATTGGGCTAGTGCTAAGGATTGTTACCTGGGAGATTATTCTACTGATTAAGCAGATTTTGCCTTATCACATATGCAGCCATAGCCAGCAGCATAGGAGGGCAGCTGGTGAGGAAGCAGGAGCATCAGGCAGAGTCCTGGTGCCCAACCCCTTTGCCATTGACCTTGGGAGAGTTACTGGGTCTTCTTTACCCAACCTTGTTCAGTGGTGGTTGAGAGGACTAAGTTTCTTCTCAGCCCTAATCTTTCATGACTTTATTTACACCAGAGGATGACAAGGCACCTTGGTGGTTTTCACAATAGGGTTCAGGGAACAGGAAAAAGGGTTAAAGAACAATCAAGAAGCCAAGAAGGAAGTAGGAAGATCAAACAAAAATAAGGTGGACAGGAAAATAAAAGAGCCTGCGGTAGTGTAGAAATCCCCACAAAGAGAAACCAGAGAGGAGGCCTTGGGCCAGGGCTGGCCTGGGCTGGAGACACAAGCAGAAAGTTCCCTGTAAGGAGAGGAGGTGGGGGTTGCATGTCCCCTAGAGGCCCTCCTAAGTCTTCTCATCTCCACTGCCAGCCAGAACACCTCCTACAGTATTCCCTACAACCCCCCCACTCCCCAGTGTAAGGATCCCTTTCATGCCTAACCCTGTACCATCTTCAACAAGCCACAGCTGTGACATATGATAGCATCATTTACTGAGCACCTTCTATTTACTATTTGTGCTTAGTACTTGTTATGCCTTTCTCCTTGAATCTCGTCAATAAATCTATGCATTCCATCATATTGGTGCTATTACCATCTCCATTTTACAGGCAGAGATATTGAGGTTACAAAGTTTAATTTTCTCAAAGTCACACTGTTGGTAAATGGCAGAGACCAGTAGTCAGTCTTGCTATTTACCACTCTGTTCTTCTGCTTCCCATGAAAACCTTGTTTGGCGTCTTGACTTTGGAGAGGGCCCAGGAAAGGTGGGCTGGTTGAGGAACCACTTGCGAAAGGTAGACTCTGCCCACACAACCTGCTTTCTTCTAGAGCAGGTTTGGGTATTGACTTAAACTCCTCACGAGGCCTCTGGCCTGTGACTCCTCTCAAGGCTTCCAGTGGGCACTAGAAAACTCCGATCTGCTAGACTGCCCCTGTGACTGGCACCTAGCCTCCATCAGCCCGATCCTGGCTGACAGAGGCACCACTGGTGCCAGGTCAGAGTGGGAGGAAACCGTGCCTGGTCGAGTCAAAAGGAAAGTAGCACATCAGCACTCAAGCTCCATGGGCTGGGGGCCATGCAGGAGGTATAGCACTTTGCTTCTTCCAGACACAACTTCTCACCCCAAAAGCACTGAGAGTTGGGATAGGGCCGTGAACACAGGGAAAGA